AAGTCGAACATAGCCAAATGAATTTTATGTATATGTATATATATATATATATATATATAAAATGTACATCCAATAGTATATATGTATGTATATATAAAATAGGTGTCCAACCAAATTTGTTATATTATTTCAGAATTTTTCTCTAAAATTTGCAAAACAGCTGTCTTATACAATATCTCGGTACAAACGTTTACGATATAAGAGTATTTACTTATCGTCTTATGGATCTAAATATAATAGTAAAAGAATTACGAAAAATGTGGATATATAATTATTTAATCCTCGAATTTAATTGAATTAACATGTGTATCTATGCGTCCGCCACGGTAGCTACCGCGTTTCTTCTTTTGCTTTTCATGTCGGAAAGACTTGCCCTTTGTATATTTCAATACTTCATTAGCTCGTTCTCCCCATGATCCGCGTGCACCTTTCTGTTGAGCAAGAAAAACGAAGAGTTTTACATATATTTGTGTATGTTTCGAAGATGAAAGTATATCTACTAATAATGTAATTGCGATTTATCCCTTACCTTTATATACAATCATGTATATCTATTATTAATCATCAAAAGTGATCTTTTTATTTTGAGTTGTCGTATCGAAAGATTTCTTATTATCGAAACCACCTTTGTCGCCTCTAAAACCTCCCCTATCGCCATCCCCGTTGTCTCCCCACGATTTCCTCGGCCTATCGTTTCCGCCCCAAGATTTCCTATTATCGAAACCGCCACCACGACCGCCTCTAAAGCCGCCGCGACCGCCTCTAAAACCGCCGCGACCACCACCATCCCTATCGTTATCGTTGCTCCAACGTCCGCCCCTGTCGCCAGCACCATCCTTATCGCTACCGTTGCTCCAACGGTTACCGCCGCCACCGCGATCGCCTCTGAAACCGCCGCGTCCGCCTCTAAAACCGCCGCGTTCACCTCTAAAACCGCCGCGTTCACCTCTAAAACCGCCGCGTTCACCTCTAAAACCGCCGCGACCTCCCTCATCGCGCCCTCCTCGGAAACCACCTCTACCACCTCTACCTCCCCTAAATCCACCTTTGAATCCGTCTCGTTCAGAGTCGTGTTTCTTAAAACTATTATCATCTTCTTTCTCGTCCTAAAACAAAAGAGAGGAACAGGTCAATCTCGCCCATGTCATATGGCCATACCATGTTACTATAAAATAACTCTCTTTTCTCTTTTTATTTTTATTTGCCATAAATCATAATATTTAAATCAATTCTTTGTTTGGTGAATGCACGGAAACATAGCCTTACGAGCATGGTCTCAAGCTTTCGTAAAAGGGGCGAGTGACCTGTGCCTCTCGGACGGTTTCCGAGCATTTACCTTTGCTTCGAAGGAATTGTTAGCCAATTTAGGATCCAATTTGACCTCCTCGCTTCTTACACGTTGAAAAATGGGCTTTCTGTTTGACTAAATACAAAATTATAAGTGATAAGAGAGCGTTCTGTTGCTTAAAGATATTCAATTATTGCATAGACAAAGCAATAATAGTCAGAATAATGTGCAATTAAATATTCACTGAACATTTTGTGATACATCTACATATTTCGATATATTCAATAAGTAAACATGATTCTTGTAAAGAATCCAGAATGCACAGATTACGAATATGCGATCATTTTCTGTTCTTAGTTCACTTACTCATTGAATGTTTTGAATTGCATATTGTGTGTAGGCATAATCAACGTACCTTGTTGTCTTCGTTCAAACTACTGTTAGCTTTCACGAAGTTGCTATAATTATTTTTTGCCAATTTTGCAGGCGTTCTTTCCTCGTCATTTGAATGTTTCCTTTTTTGTGGTTTGGCTGCCGTTTGAACTTTTGTTTCATCTTCTTTCTCTGCACTGGAATCTGAATCAGAATCGCTCGTCGATTCCTTCTTGGTGCCCGCTTTTGCCAGTATAGGTTTTGCGGCTGCTGTTTCGTCTTCCGAGTCGTCTGAATCTTCACTGGAAGATTCCTGCTTCTTCGGTGTTTTATTAATAGCCGATCGCTTCGCCAATACTTGTACCGCTGATTTCTCCTTTTCATCGGAATCATCATCGGAATCTTCGCTCGACGATTCTTTTTTCTTTATAGAATCAATTTTGCTAGTGGTATTCTGTTTAACAAGAGCTGGTTTCTTGACGGGAGCTTCATCTTCACTGCTCTCTTCACTCGAGGATTTCTTTTTAGCAACAGCTATTGGAGTTGGTTTCTTAGCAGGTTGCTCTTCCTCGCTACTATCTTCGCTTGAAGATTCCTTTTTGGTGACTGGTGGTTTTGTTGGCGCTGTTTGTTTACTAAGAGCTGATTTTTTTATCGCAGGCTCCTCCTCGTCGCTAGTATCCTCGCTCGATGATGATTCTGGTTTTTGAACCTTTGTTACTGTCGGTTTACTCTGTTTTTGTGGCTGTGATTTTGGAGCTACATCTGCCTTTGGTGTGGATGTTTTACTGGGAATAAGAGCCGGCTTTTGCGCTTTTAGAGAAACAGTTGCTTTTGGTGTGCATGATTTAGCTTCGTCTTCGCTACTCTCTTCACTTGAGGAAGATTCTTCCTTTTTAGCAACAGTTACCAATGCTGGTTTTTTAGCAGGTTGTTCTTCACTGCTATCGTCGCTTGAAGACTCTTTCTTAGCAAGTGCTGGTTTATTAAGAGTTGCTTTTTTTGGCGCAGACTCCTCTTCATCGCTACTGTCCTCACTCGATGAAGATGCTGGTTTTGTAACCGATTTTGCTGGTGTCAATTTATTCTGATTTTGTGTCTTTTGATTTACAGCTGCTTTCTGCGCCTTAGTGGCTGGCTGTTTGGCAACTGGTATTTTGTCTTCCTCTTCATCGGAACTTTCATCAGAACTCTCTTCTTTTTGTACAAGAGGTACCTTGACATTTGTCTTTGCTTTAGTTAATATTTTTTGTGCTGGTGTTTCATCTTTGCTGGAAGAGTCTTCCTCAGAAGAATCTGCTACTTTTTTAAGTGGCACTGTTTTAATTATTGATTTATTGCCATTGACTTGCGCAATATTTTTCTGTGTTTCTTCCTCGCTTTCCGAGCTCGAATCCGAACTACTTTTCTTGTTTTGTCCAATTACAGAGACCTTCTTAGAGGAGTTCTTTTGGAAATACCTGAATACTTCAAGTATTGTCGGACATCCTTTCGATAGACCAGGCTGAAAATCAATAAATTAATTTATTTTTTATATCTTGTTACAATTAAATAAATCAATTCTTGATAAACTTGATGATGTTAATTTAATTTCTTCTCTTATGCTCCTTTCAAATTTTGCATTTATATTTGTATGCAATTATATCAGATCAAAAAAGCAGGTGGAACAAAAGATATCTTGCTTTTTTATTATAAGTTGATGATGCAAGTAACAAATTTTTAATCTACAGATTTTATCTATATTAGATATTCGAACAAAAATAATCAGAGTTTGGAATAGAGAAACAGGTAAGATTCTAGAAAAATCGGACTACAATTTCAACGCGATTCGACGCGTCTATAAGATTATCGATATCAAAGCTACGATCGTCGATTGCGCGCAATAATTTGTGAGATTATAGTAGTGAAAATTATAACAGCATATGATGCAGTGGACGATGAAATAATCGAAAGAAAAAATTATGTTCGGCGTGTGCGTCCACGTGGTGTAACGAATGGCGGCAATCGATCACCGCGTGGTAATCGGCACAACGATACGAGAGTTCGTCATCGATAATATCGGTTCTTACCGCTTTTGTTTTCTTCTGAAAAACCTTCGCCAACGACGCGTCCTTCTTCGTCAAGTAATCGTATATAAGACCGGATATAAATAATTCCTCGATCTCGCCCATGATGCCGGAGAAAAATTGCTGATCGCAGATAAATTGTTGGATTCAACTGCTCGTTTCTTCCTGTGCCGTCCCGTAATTTGTGCCGGCTTTTGTACTCGCAGCGCTGGTGTCGTTTGGTCATGGTTCACGTAGTATCGATAGATGGGTTTCTAGAATTATTAGCGTCTTCGAATGAACGGGTTAACCCAACGCGGTTAAATTAATCACTATATTTTACTATGAATTCAAGCCTTTTATTGGCAGAGACGATGCAATGACGTCATTAATCGCTCTGAGAGCGATTAAAACAGGGTACCGATCATGTAACTTTTCCCCTAAGGCGGAAAAGTGAAAAATTTTGCCATTGATTACAATGCTAATATTTTTCATTTTTCACGTTTCCGCCCTAGGGAAAAAGTTATATGATCGGTACCCTGTTACATTCGAAAACGCTATATGATTGCGCATAATGAAAATGCGCCAAAAAAAAATCAACCAATCGCGCGCCGAATGTAAAGAACGTAACAACATGGCTTTCTTTAAACGATTGATCGATTTTTCTATACGTATGTGTGATGCGTGACTTGCGTGGTAGTAGCTAAACTCTCTTTAATTTTTTTCTATAATAATAGGAAGTGATTGGCTGTCGCGTCACTTTTTAACGTGCTGAATTCTTCTACGGCCGTGTTCCGATATTCACTGCCCGTACTGAAAATCTATAGTATATGTGACGTAAACTATAGATTTTCAGTACTGGCAGTAAATATCGGAACACGGCCTACATATGCAAGAGTTTTTATTGGCTCTTTCAATGATCGTTTTGGCGCGTTGGCGCCTGATTGGTCGAATCCAATCCATTGAATCCCGGACGTTTTTTTCGAAATTCGTGGACCGGCATCTCCGATCTTTCGACGGGAAAGTGTGATTCGATTTTCCGAAATTATGACGGAGACGCAGCAGAAAGCCAAGTGTATTACTCTGAAAGGTTCCGCCGAATTGGTTACACAATATCTACGTACGTATAATCTTATTGCTCAATCGGACTGCAAGGGATATCTGTAACCTCTTTGATTATCATTTCGTTGCAGTGTATGGAGTCAATAGTATACTCTATCAAAGAGGAATATATCCGCCTGAGACGTTCCAACCCTCGGAACACTTCGGCCTATTCATCTTCACGTCCACGGACGAAAAGATCGCGTCTTTTTTAAATACCGTTCTTGGCCAGATCCAAGAATGGCTCATTCAGCGCAAAGTACACAAGATCACGCTTGTTATAACGAATGTCAATACAAAGGAGGTGCTGGAAAAGTGGGATTTTAAAGTCGATTATGAAGATCAAAAGGCTAACGGAGTCAATAGCAATATCAAGGCTGAGTTGCCCGAAGTAGAGACAAAGGATGTAAAAACTATTCAGAAAGAAATACGCGAAGTGATACGTCAAATCACAGGTAATGTCTGATTGCGGAAAAAGATTTTAAGTAGAACATTAGATCTTTTCGTTGGGTGTACTTTCTAATATGAAATATTCTTACAGGCACGGTAAGTTTTCTGCCACTCTTGGATTGCCTGTGCTCCTTCGACATACTTACGTATACGGTACCTGACTGTGACATTCCTAATCAATGGGACGAGACTCAGCCAGTTTTTATCGCAAATAGTCAAGAGGTACAACTTAGATCATTTTCAACTTCTATACATAAAATGGACACTATAGTCAGTTACAAAAATACATGAACCTATTTGTTTATTTTTTTAAATGCAACAATTGTAAATACAAACTCCATTTTATGTCCTGTATTAAGCATCGCTTACCAAAGACTGCTTTTATTAATTGCTGTTAAGTATGATGTGATTATTGGTGATTGATCCAAAGTAACAGCAGGATCAAATAACAATACAGTAACAGCAATACTTTTCTATAATATTTGTAGTAGTTTAACACATCAATTATCTTCTCAACATATTTTCTATTAAACATTTTTTAAACACATTTAAAGTATTGAGAATAGTAACATTATATTTAAATAAATATTAAATTTTTAATTGACAATAATATTAATTAAATACTAACAATATATTGGGTTGAACGGAAAGTTTGTGCCGTTTTTTCGGTCTTCATCTGTTAGTAAAAAACGGAACGAACTTTCCGTTCAACCAAATATATATATGATTAATTTATATTTTAGTTAATTTTTCTATTATTATACTATTATTATACTATAAGCTTATTGAAATGAGTATTGTGTGCATTAAGATTCATTATTACAATTTCTAGAATTTTGAAATTGTTTTTGTATAAAAAAAAAGAGAATGTATAGGAATGATAGGAATACGAAAGGAAGTACATGGGGCATTGACAAGAATCTTGGCAGATTTTATTAAAACAGAATTGACCATTACATTTAACACAGGAATTACATTTGGTTACTTGGCAAAGCATGACAGATACAACTAGAATAAAATATTTCTGCTTGCCGACGTTTCACATAATTTGCCTAGCGTTAGTATCTTCCAACGTAAAGCTTTTCTCACATGGAATCTCGATACTAATCTCAATCATTTCCTAACGATTCCTCGCGTATACTCCATTTTGGAGTCTAAAGCATTCTAAACGGAATCGCGCATAATTCAAACGTAATCCGGCGTCATGCTTTTTTAATTTAAGCAAATCGTATTTTACAAACACATCCATAGGCCTGAATTATTAATGTAACCTATTCAATCTAATCTGCCTCGTTCGAATACGAACGAAAATCGGTAATAAAAATCATCTTGTGCCTTATACATGCTATTGTTTGTCCGCGATGCCCAATAATCGGTGCTTGATCCGATGACAAATCTAAATGATTGGAAGTTTAATTTCTTTTTATTTAAATAATTGGCACATACTTTGAAGGTTTAATTTTTGTTATACAATAAGCCTCTCATAAAGAGCAATTTATGATAAATAATTATAAAAACTTATTGTGAAATTTTTTTCGAAACTATTATGAAAAATATACAAAAAGCATTTTTTTTTTTGCAACATTTTGTGCAATTATTCAAGTAGAATAAATATTTCCTCTGTGTGTATCCGATCATATATCATTGATATAATTGATATCTGCCACATTATTTCTGGTTAAATATTTAAATGGAAATATATATATATTTCTGTTTATATCTGTTTCAATTTATTATAATCGCGGAAATGTTTTAATTTTTTAATTTTGTATATTTTATATTAATCTGTAATTGTAATTTTATCATCTATTTAGCATTGATTATTAAAGATATTAAATATGTGTGAAACTCGGTTTTTAACAAAGGGACAAAATCAATACTTTACAACCTATAGAGAGCGTAATACATTTATTGCATACTATTCACTAGGCGATTGTTATAAATGTGACGCTTCAAAGGATAGTCAATTATCGGAATAAAAGAAAATATCGCTTCTCTCATTTATATTTGTCATATTACGAACATATCTCGATCTTGCCGAGATACGATCGAATAAGATCGTATTTCGGGAAACATCGATGGCGATCTATACCTTTATTTAGTAATTCGCCGTTACGTTTCCCTTACAATAATTTCGCTATTAACGTTAATACTTCGTGCTGCTAGAATTAGCCATATTAGTCCACGGTGCGTACTCTGTTCGCTATAAGGACTATCGCGGAACGCAAACGTTCGCTTCACGTTACGTGTCACAACTAGGGTTGCCATACGTCCTCTTTTCCCCGGACACCGTCCTCTTTTTTAGGGCATCCGGGGACGTCCGGGGGGATTTTTCGAATGTGTCCGGGGTAATTATGAATGTCTGGGGTTTAAGAATATTCATAAATATTCTGCTTTTTAGATTTAATTAACCACATCATATTCAATCACTTCAATACAATTGAAGTTATCAACCATTTGTTTTTTTATTTTTATGCGTGAATCTAATAATAAAACTTCTTTTAAATTAAAAACATGTTTAATTTATTCCTTTTACTCTAAGTACTAATGAAAATGAGATCTAAAATAATTATTAATTTATTGTTATAAGTTATAAGCAACTTGCTAACCTATTCGCATTTTTGTATACGTCCGGGATTGCAAGCGAAATGTCCGGGGTTTCTGAGCTATAAGTTCTAGTTTTGAAAATTTTATTATGGCAACCCTAGTCACAACTCCTGTCCGCTTGGCCCGTCTTGGAGATATACGGTAACTTTTGAGAAAATAGCACACTTTCGAGCATTCCAGATTGTAAAAAATATTCCAAACTTTCGATGCACTTTTATGAACATCTTAAATTTCAACGATCCATCTTTACAGATATTTAATGCGAATTACATTAATAAATTACATTAATAAATATTTTATTTATCCGAAATTTCATGGATATTACATTTTCGCAATTCTCTCTTAACATAGCAATTGTAATAATATTTTCCGGCAACCAATATATCTGTCTTTTTGTTCTTTTATTTTATTTTATTTTTTTAACGGACACGTCAAAGATAACATTTGAAATTAGGAATGTGTGTGTTTGATGAATAGTATTTTACATTTTGCAAGAGATGATTTGAGTTTCTAGCGTGGCGACATTTCACGTGAATACAACTGCATATAATTAGACATTAGTAAAAGTTTTTTTCCTACTCTTGAAATATTCCGTTTCTCTTCAAAAGCACGTGGTTTATGCCATAGACGGACATTACAATCGTAATACTTCTCCGCATCCAAGCCATGCGCTCTTTAAATGCGCCTAGACTAGTTTTGCTCCGCATTCGTTTTTTAGCTCACACACTGCGAAAGCTGGAGATACGCTGCAGTTTTACAAATGTATTTATCCCGTTTGTCTCCGCGATACCGTAAGAGAGCGATATATCGGACAATGACAAGAATAAAGCTCGCCGATTTATGAATTATTTAAAGCTCTCTCCATCTTTTTCGCGATATAAATTAGAGAATTGAGATCGTTAATAAAAAAATATTGAACTTAAGGAAATATTAATTTCCATCTGGCTAATAAATATTGAAATTTGATATTATATAATGAATATAAAAGTTATATAGCTTTTGAAATTAATATCAAAATCAATTTTGTGCTTTAAATCGTGATAACGATAATCTCGAATGAATTTTTCAATAGTTCAAGTGTAATTTTACCATTAATATGTTGCCAATAACGAAAATATATCTGTTTAAATATGCACAAATGCACAGAGATATGAAATTATACTTCAATTCTCTCTTATACATTATTCTATCACTTTTATTTCGTAATTTTCAATAATTCAAATCGGCTATATTGTTTGCTTGGCCGCGGTAGATCACTTTGTCGCATATCTATACGGTATAACAGAACAACGCGGATCGTGTCTTTAGTAACATTATGCGGTAATTTTTCATAAATACCGTAGAAACGTGTCTCTAGTAAAAACATTGAAAAATAAACAACGCGAGAAACAATATACAATATTTTACAGTAGCGCTTAGTATACCAATGATCGGGTGTCGTTTTCGCGAAACGGTGATTCGCAGCGATCAGAATTTGCGAAAGTGTCGTCGATCGAACCGCGTATTCAATTATATCGCGTCTCCGTATAATCGCGATCGCATGATTCGCGGGAGATTTTTTTTTTCAATCGCAATTTCGATCGAGCACCCGTGCATGAGAGAATAGAAATCGAGTAGCCATTGATAAATTATTATAATCGTCGGCTATACCATAATTAGTGAAGTAAACATTTCATCGCGTTAATCAATCGCCGATGTGATGGGCGTGCATGCGCGATGCTGAACCACCGTTCCACGATCCCATCCACCTCCCGCATGGACCGAAAATCGATTCTTCTTACGTGTAAAATCGCGTTTGTTTCGCGATGCGCGTTTAGTGCAGCGCGTAGCGTGCGCAAAAGGGCACGCTCGAATTGTCATTTTATTTATTTATACACTTCTACTTAAGTTTACCTCTTACTAACGCTATATCGATTTACGATCGTTTCTTTTTTTTTTATGCATAAAATATCATAAAATACATTCTTTCTTTTGTTCACTATTCGCGGACTCGCCGTTTCGTCCCGATAGTCGCGAATTCGAGCCGAATCGCAATATTAAGCGTGCGAATCGAAAAATTTTAAAACCACATTAGTTAAATACATTGACAAATATATCAAGATGTATGTAATACAATATTATATTTCCTCGTCTTTGGTTTATTCTTCTATTTATTTTATTGAGAAAGAGACGAAGAGAATTACTTTATTTAGAATCTCTTCACAATACGTGTATCGCACACATACATTGTATTTTTAAATATATATCTAAAGATTTAAAATAAATTATATATAGAGAGAAATAATATATTTTTTCAACGAAGGAGTCTAATTTCATTTGTACAATTGTTATTCATTAATATTTCCGCTATCATAAAATCGGAAATTCGCTCGTTGACGTCGCGAGATATCGATCATCACGGCGAGTCTCACGATGTACTCACGATGACTTTCATACAAATCGTTCGATAGGTACGAGCGACGAAACGAATTCAACGAAAAAGCACGGCGGCACTAGTAAGCTTGCACGGACATCATTCGCTACGACGATCTCTCTTTTTTTTTATATTCTTTTCTCCTCGCTCGAGCATCTTTCTGATTTATATAGCTAGAGTCGCAAAGTACTTTCCGCTTCTCATCGCGTGAGAACGGCTCGGAACACTCTGTTCGCTTGTTCGCCCACAAAACTACCTATACGTAACCGTGTAAGTTCCTAACGATGTAAAAAATAAACGCATGCGTTCACTCTCGTCGATGGAAATGTCAAATACATCCGTCGATCGATATTAGCCGATTATTATAGTAATTTGAATAAAAGATTTTTAGCTTTATAGAGAGAATCTTTTTTTACTGTAAATTTTCTCAAAATATATTGTGACATTTTGTATTATAATTTTGAAACAGTTTGCGTATCGACAACTTTAAAATAATAGAAGAAAACATAGCAAATTTGATCATTTATAATAATAAATCTGTATTGTTAAAATAATTTAACAATTCTCATCTATTCATTTTTATAATTTAATATTTAAAACTATTATATGTATTTAATAGAAAGTTTTACAGATTAAAAATGATGTTTTTAATCGGTATATCAGGATGTTTTTATATCCAATTGGGTCCATTTTTTAATTATTTGATACGTGATATATAAACATACATATATTTTCATAAACGCACAAATCTTTAAACAACTCTTTATATAATGAAAACATAATTATAGTAATTCAAAGAAATTTTTAGAATAGCCTTTTGCATTCGCTATGATTCGTTGCGATAAAAATGAAATTATTATATAGTAATTATTTGTCTGGTAGCAGAAAGCTATTTTTATGCCGAGGTTTATTATGAATTTCCCTTAATTAAAGTGAATTCGTTTTTGTTGTATTGAAAAATACGTAGTGCAAACGACATCATCGTCGTATAATTTTACCGTGTCATCTCCTACTCGCTCTTCGCGTTTCTCGCTTCATGAGCGGGAAAAGTTCGGTATTTCGATCGTTCGAGAGCCAACGCACTGCGGCGCAGGCGCCTAAAAAGGGGGTACGAGGGGTTACTTTGTACAATAAGAGCGTCCTGAACGCATCATTGAGGCCGGAATTTTCTTCGGAAATCGCGGAGCGCCTTTTCGCGGCTGACTAACTGAATCCTCTCTTAGCATACAAAACGGTTGCGACATATCTTCCGGGCTGTATAACGAAATTTTCGTTTTTTAACCGTTCTAGTATCTTCACGAATAATTTTAGTATCGATTTTTATGATTGTACTGTCTATTCTTGAGATTTGACTTACGTTCGTAATTAAAGTTAAATAAAATAATTTAATTCTGAGGAAAATAATTTAAAGAAAATATGTGTTAGAAATAAATAAGAAATATGATACTCGCAAATATAACAAAAAATCCAAATTTTTAGTCTTTTTACACGCAACATGAATTTAGAATATATTATTTATGGAACGCAAAATATATATAATACGAATAATAAATTAAAGGAATAATATATAAGCGTAATTTAAGTAAAGTATATGAACAACAACTCAAAATAACTTAACATTAATAAGAATTTAAAAGAAAATTTGACATAAATAAAAAAAAGGTAAAAAATATATTTCATTTTTAAATAAAAATTACAAACGTAAAGGTAGTAGGAAAAACAGAAATGTATATGGGATAGTTTCAAATAGCTTAATTGAGAATTTCTTTGAATAACACTTTACGAGAATGTTGCGTATGCGTGTAATTAACAGTATGAGATTAGTTATCTCGTTTTGCATTATTGACTAAAGTATCCCAGAGAGAGTTGCCTAGTTAAAATTTTGCTGTAGCAGCTTATGTAATTGTAGGACACTCCGCTAATTAAAGCGCCGCGTCCTGTTTGTAGAAGTTGTACGTCCCGCGTTACCCGTTACTTGGTGCCCGGAAGATACCGCGGTCCCTCCTGCGTAAAACTCTGATCCTGGAAATCCTATTACAGTACTCAGGATCATCCTCGCGGGTTCCCTCTTCCTGCGCAATCCCGTAAAATGATATCACGACATGCCCGCGGTAGTACGTCGATCTGCACGTGCCCTATGGTATAGTTTTACGACGGCTTTCTTCCTCTCTTATTCCCTCGTTTTCCCCGTACAAACCTCACTGGAAACGGAATGATTCGAGATCCATTTTGTGATACATTTTTCCTTCCATCCTAGCAGAAATCACAAGCGCTTTTGCAATCGCGATATTTCGGCATTGACTAAAGTCAATCGGCTCTACAACGTAAGATGATTTATTTATCGAGCTTCGAATGTCATTTTTGTGGAAGAAAATAACGAGGATTAGAAATTGTTGTGTGTATTTTTTAAAAGTATTGTCCTGATTGAAAAAGCAGTCCAAAAATTCTTTTAAAAATCGCGAGTAAAAATATTATCTATTAACCAGGAAATATTCCACAAAAAATATTTTGTTGTCGTATTAATCAGATATTGTTAAAATAGTTTAGAATAATTTTACCAGTATAACCGAGGAATCAAGAAAGCTAATTTAGCAGAAAATACATACACGGATATATCCTCAATGATTATAGCGCTCATTTTTTTAATATAACGATATTACGATCAACAAGTTTGTACTTACGATTTGTAACGAGATAATAATATCCCTGCGAAAAAATTTCAACCAAAAAACAATAGATTATAATAAATGGCAGAGCGAGTTGTTAGTAATACTTTCTTCCACATTTATTCGCGTCGTTTTCGCGTCTCGTGATTCCTTCTCGTCGAACGGAGGGTTGAAATTCTCTTGCGGACGAAGTGGCGAGGTGCGTCGTTGGAAGTTTTCTAATCCCGTTTGGAGGAGGCCGGGATTTCCTCCGAGCAATGTGCGAGTGCTGCTATGATGTGACAGTCTATAAACAAAGGATAAGAATTATTCAACGGATACTTTGTGAAATAAAAAGAGTCTTTGAAGTAAAAAAAGCATTGTCTTGATTTTTCGAACAATTTTGTTCGATTTTATTTATCGCGTCCATTTCTCGTCCCATCTTTGATCCAGGAAAATAAATCCTTTTCCTATCTCAATTTTCTCAATATTCGTTAAATCTCATATATCATTCGCGTAATTCTTCGCTTAACTTTCTATTTGAAAAATTAATAACTTTAATAGATTCGAAGATATTGATATCGAAGAAAAAGATATTAAAAAAGAGTATATAATGATCATTGTCGCTAAGTTTGACTTATATTTGCTGAACTGTGCTTCAAATAAATATTACTATCAAAAGTCAAGCAAAAGCGAAAATTCGACAACATTTCGTTAATTTTGAAATTAAATCATCACGCATCATCAAATCGTGTAGAATGTTAGTGAAAAGAGGCGGACTGAAAAAACGTGCTCGAAGAATAAAGCATTCAAATTTTAATTCGCTTTTTTCGAAAAAAGTAGGATACTTTGGCTTATGCTCTTTGCTCAGCGAATATCGATCGTGTGTCTGCTCCGAGGAAGAATATCTTTACCGAACTTTCGGCCAACATTCCCCTTCATACGAATTCACAGTGCATCGCATGTTTCCTTTCTCACCTTTGTCGCGATCCAGGATGAAGACAGTTCCGGGTGTAGGATTGAAACTTTTCTTCTTGCCGCTTTTCCGGACCTTTATCCCGCGGAAAAGGACGCTCAGCGCGATAACTTTCGTTTAGGCTAGCTCGCGAAACTTCGACTCACGATGGTCCAGGATGCGGTATGCGCGAGGATGACGTTGGTCGGCGGCTCGCTTCGTCCCCCGAGGCTCTTCTGTGGCAGGAAGTAGCGGGCCAAATTATTCCTACAGTGCGAGAAGTGCCGCTAATGCCATTGGCTCTTTCCGGCCTAATTAGCAAAGAACCATTAAGTTTATCTACGAGCATCACACACAGGGTCAACCGGTCTCCCTCGAGAAGACTGAATTGGGGAAAGGCGAAAGGGACAGAGTTCGCTTTCGCTATGAATTAAGCATTGAATGATTCAATTCGAATGCGAAAGTACTTAATAATAAATCATTAGATATATATATTGTATCAGGCACTTTTTCCTGCGATTTTGGATGGTAAAAATTAAACCAGAAACAATATATTTTGTTTCAACATCGAAGCGTTATCTTACTGTAAAATGTAAATTTTCGGAAATGAGAGAAAGTAAGTGCAATATAAGTAAAAAAAAAAAATATATTAATATATAAAATCTTGGAATATATATGCAACAGAATTGCTAGTATTAAAGGATACAAGGCTGCGCGAAATCTTCCGTTTCTTAGTAAAACATTTATCTTGCAAATAATACTTGTTCGGATTTGTCGCACCTTTTAATTCTTCGCATCACGTTCCTTGAAAGAGATAGAGTTTAATTGAGATTAGCGTAGTTAACGAGCCAATGCCTTAAGAAAGAATTAACTCTGTGAAACGAACCAGTCGTTGTAAACTTTTAATTAACCGCTTTCGCAATTATTTAATCGAGAGAATCAAGTCTTTCTAATGACTTCTTTACTGTTTGTTTCAACCCTTCTCTTATTTTCTGTTCTTTCGAACTCGAATTGTTGAAAATTGCTAAAGCACATTTAAATTAAAGCACGTATTACAAGCAGCTAGAATTAGATAATAGATGACAGTCTGCGGACTCGGTTTTGTCAAGTATCTAGCGATGATAATGGGCCTTCCTTCTAATTAGAACGGACCATTAAGCTCTTATCCACGATCATTAGACTCGTCGAGTTCGGTTCTTGTGCCATTTGGTGTCGGTAGGATCGCGCCTTATTGACAAATTCTCGAAGCTACATTCGAATCTTAATTAGCGAATCAAGGAGCAATTTGAAGAGTAAAGGTAAAGATTGAAGATTAAACCACTCGGCAATCAAGCTCGAGCAGAGTTCAAAGCCTTTAGAAGTTAATTATTTTCATTGCCCAATTTTAATTCGTATTTTGTATTATGTCTATTATTATTAATATTATTGATCAAAGAAATTCTATATGTATAAAATTATCACATCCATTATATAAAAAAGATCTATAGTTAATTCAATAGCTAAAAAATATATTTACGTGAAAAAAGTTTTTTAGAAGATTTGTGATTCACACAATGATTATACAGTTGACACACAAAAAGATCCACACATCCATTACACGAGCGTGTCATATATTGTATTTGATAAACATTCTGATGAATAAGAGTCCGATAAAATGTCGTCGTTCAAACTCGTAAAATCTCGACTGGGGATCTATGCTAGTGATCGAGGATCATCGGTAAATTGTCCGGCCATCATCATCGCGCCCATGAGGATCCAGCCGGCGATAATTGATGAAATGAATCACGTTGACATCGACGGTGATCGTTAGCAATGAGCGGGAGAACACGAACCGCGTGCTATCGTTAATCACCGGGCCTGACACATCCGAGCCATCGTTTGTTACTTTCGGCAAAGTTGTGCGGTCGCCCGACACTCCGATGCGAGTTATCAATTCTGTGGGACAGCGTCGTTTGGCTTTAGGTTAATTAAAAATTAATACATTAATTATCACGCTTACTGTTGTTATCATCAAATTTATCGAAGCAATAAAGAATTTTGAAAATATATTTTATGCAAAAATCTTAAAAATGGTGTAATTAATGAATGATGATGACGATGACGTGTTAAGTTTTTGGTTGGCCTTCAAGATTTCTTATTATTAAACTTGTGAAGCTGCTTATATATTTTATCCTATATTTCATTGATTGAATTATTAATGAAACCTTCACTTTCGACAAAGTTTCCGACCGGTCTAACGGGCGCGGTAATCAGCACTTGTACCGTGTCTCAAGGCTCTCCCTTTGCCTTATCCCAGGAAGTTAACAACTATCGGCTTTGTAGCCGTGCTTAAGTTAACGCGAGTTTCGCGCGCGTTGAATAGTTTGCAAGTCCATTACAGATGCATTAAGAATATATATGTATACACACGTGCATGTCTGAATTCTCCGTTCTCAGCTGCGAGGACACGTGATACTTCGCACAATTACTTCGGAGCATGAGACCCAGAGCACAGTCGAATCTGACAAATCTAATGTCTCTATGTGCGGTAGCACGTTCAGGCACTATCATCTTCAAGTTATTCTAAACAATATTGGTTAAATCTAATAGGAATTTAACTGATTCTCTATTTCTTTTTACATTGAATGCAGATACTGTAAATGTTGAAAGAAAAGAGAAGCAGGGATGTTGAACGCAAAGAAAATTGTGAAAAATGTATTAAATAAACTTGAAAATATATTGACATTTTCGTCACGTTATTCGCTAATTACACAGATCTAAATTTTATTTTTGATATTTTTATTTAATTATTATGCGAGAATTTATTTTCTTGATAAAATAATAAAATAATTCGTACCTAAAGAATAAGAAAACAATATCGCAGATATTTTTGTGATCCTTTATTACCGGCGCACAAGGCAAAAGGAAAACAAGATGCCGATAGCGAAGAGAGCTTTTCGCAAGACTCGCTCGTACGGCGAGATTCCTATTTTTTCTCTTTTGGTAATATACAGGGATCCCGTCGTGAATTTTCGTGGTCGTCGACTAGTACCTTTTACGCGAAACGTTTATGCGATGTGCGTTTCGAGGATACGAGAATCGAGAATACGGGCCTTTCCCGCAAAGAGCTTTCGGCATCGCGCGAGGACTGCTACGAGCTTAGCAAGGAGCTCCGCAGAGACATCTTGCTCGCTCTTATCCCCATAGGTCTCTTTTCTCCTACCGCGCGTAGTTTTCAGCTTTTACCCTTTGGCTTTCTTTTTAGCGTGGTTTTCCTTTACGAAAAACGGTCAGCCGTATCGTTTCCGCCTGACGTAGCGCCGTCTAAGGACACCGGGGAGCACTGGACGTTATTGCATGAGATATACAGTTACGTATGTTTCTCTCCGAGTACGCGTACGTACTTTCTTCCAACAGTTATCGATATTCGATTGTGATCCTCTCAAGGCTTTGGTAGCTATAAAAGCATGTCCGAAAAGAAGCGAGGGATATAACGCAAAGTGTGTAGAACGAACATGAAACTATATTTCTTTTATTTTTTCCCTCGCAATCTGGCTTGTGGGGATAGACGATAAAATGTTTATGGAAATAATGGCGGACTCTCGAAGCAGATACAGTTACAGAGCCTCCGAAATTTCCCTCTACAATATCGATCCAAAGAAGTCCTTATACAAAATTTACTCCTTCCCTATCCCGACGTAGCTTCGACATTGAAGATCATTTTCGCCGAGTCGCGCGACTTCGACTTTGAACATGGCACGTGACTCGTGTCGCAAGGACTCGGTCACCCTTCGCCAAGACGATAAATCACGGGGAACCCGTTGAGCCCCTTTATATCGGTGCGTCGCGAAAGCAGCTTCGTCTTCCTCCGTTCATCAGCGAGGTGACGTGGCCGTTGCGGCAACTTTTTGCTGTTATGTAGGGTGTCGCAGAACCACCGCAAGTTCTTTCATAGATAATAGAAGGAAAACTAAGAAGAATGATAGATGTTTTATAATGTCGCTCGCGCGCGAGGCAACGAAAATTTTTTTACCAAAGTTAATTAAAATATATTATGAAATCTTATAACTCAATTTTATAAAATTATTTTACATAGTAAATTTTTTTTTTCTAAATTTTGTTTTTCAATTTAATTTTTTAACTTGAGTCTATCTCAATAGAGATTTAAGGCGTAAGATTTATTCGTCTAGATATTTAATGTTGAAAATTAGAAATTTATGACGAAAATAATGTCCTTTCATTTCGATTTCGTTAAGAGAAGACGCTAAGAGAAGCGCTTGAGAGGTGATCGTAAAATCTTTCTTAAAGGAGCACTCCGTCGCTCTGGAATATTTTGTGTAACACGATGCACGGAGATTTCTCGCAAAACGTCACTTACGATAAAGGTGTAATAAAGTTGTATGAAACTGACCTTTGAGAAACGATGGTGGTTCTTGACGATGGCCAGCGTCGTCGTCTCGGAGCGAGTCGATGTCGCGGGAATGACGGTGGACAATGGGCGAAATGTAAGGAAAGAGAGGACGAGAGGGATGACGAATGAAAGGAGGATGATTCGAGGGAGCGAAATCGGGGAAAAATGACGAAGGGCGAGCAGCGACGAGTGCTCGAGATGGCTACGCGACAGATCCGCGGATAGCGATGACACAGTGGAAGGAGAAGTGCCCGAAGGGGCGGCGGAGAGGGCGAAGTCGCGGATGCAGGAACCTGTACGGGGATAGGGGATGAGTGGGTGAGGCTACAACAAAACAAAACACGATGAATGTCCCGATGTGCAAGCTGCAAGCAGAAAAAACGCCACAAAGATCGATGGTTAGTTCTTTCTTCGTCACGTCGGTTTCGCGTCGGTCGCGCGCGTTGAATTATCCAGATAAATGTATCCGGACGGACGTTTACGCCGGATTTGCGTTTCGAGATAATCGTTGAATATTTCGTAATTATTCACGCGAATCCATGGAAGCTGCGAGCGCTTCGCCGCGCCGCGAGGGATTTGTTTATCGTTGGCGCGCGTTGGTCCATTGATGGTTTTGTTCATTTTCGTTTTCGGCATAAATCGCGCATCCGAAGCATATCGCGGATCGCAAGTCAATTCTATACGATTGTAAAATATTTATAGATCGTTAAATTCAAGCAGAGTAAGTAATGGGAGACTGTAGAATAAATTAACAGCAATAATCCTAACGTAATAAAATTAACAATTTTTACAAAATTGCAGATATTGTAAATACTTACTTAATAATCAGAAAAACTCAGTCTTTAGAATAGAAAAATTCGTGATAAGAATAAAATTGTTTTTCCAAGGACATACAAGAAATAAAAAACCATAGATTAATTTTTTTTATTGATGAAAAAAAGGGAGAATTATTTTCCAATTTATCAAACATCTATTTTGTATTTTTGGAATTTGAGCCTAACGAATTTTGCTGCACATTTTTTGGATTCGATTCGAAAAACTGATCGTTAAAAAAAAAAAAAAAAAATGGAATAATTTCTACAAATTTGTTGAAGTCATACTGTAAAATATTTTTTATGATAAAGTAACATATCTAATGGTTCAAAAGAAATAGATCAATTTACCTTGACAGTGCCGCTAGATGCGCTAGAAGCGGGCGAGCGTCACGTCCTCGGCGAACGAAGAAAACTTATCCATATCTTGAGTGCAAGCAAGAAAAGAAAATAGTCTTCCGTTAAGTGTCTGGTGTGAAACAAATATCGCTTCTGTAGATCTTGAAATAACCGAGATATTAAACTCTCTCTTAATTCTTTTTTCGCGCGTAGTGTTACAATAATCGCACTTTCTCTGCTTGTAATATACCAAAAAAGTAACTTTATATTTAAATCTATTATAATATAAATCCCTACGAGATTTAATGATTAAAAATCAATACAATCTCGGTACATTTTGTTCAGATTAAAGACTAAAAAGTCGCTGTGTCATAATTTATACGACTTCCATAGAGCTGAGTCGAAAAAATTCATGCGCTTGCGAAAACACGAGCTTCTCGTCCTCGTACTACAGCGACTGTTGACCCCACGAGCTCTTCAAGGCTCTTCACCGACCCTGAAGAAGAACAAGAACGTGAGGGGAAATACTTCTATTCCTGTCGTTCGCGTGAATCATTCCGTTTGCACTTATCCCGTCTAATGCGTATAAAGGGCCCTTATACGGCTATGCAGACAGTCTCGTTTACATGTACTTTTAGCAATAATTTCATAAGCGGATTAGTAGTAGCGCTGTAAATCTCTTTTTTTGTCCTGCCTTTCTCTTTATCTACTTTAAGATGATATTACTATTAATGACGTAAATAAAAAACATTAAATTGATTATTTTGGCGATCAAATATTTCTAGATAAACTATTTTTTCCCCTTATGAATAAAAAATATTTCCAGATAAGTATATACAATATAATAAAGGAATATGTCGAGAGATCTTAATAGTAAATAATCTCACAAGAACATATTTTTTGATTGTAATTATGCATGAATAAAATATATATATATACCTAATAAAATGTGGAAAATAAAAGAGATACAGAAAATTTATTGGAGTTTAAACGAATAACCGGCACTAACTCCTAGTAATATTTTTGGAGCAATTCTATTTGATCACTCGCATTTTCTGACAGATTTATTGTATCAAGTCAATCTTGCTATGAGCAAAAGATAGTCTATTCAGCTTGACGTTTGATTCGTTGAATCATCGCGCAATAGCAAGGAATCCGATCGGCTACCATTGTAGTTTCTGATTAAATGAACATTGCGGCGCGGAATTTCGCTGATACACCGCATTGTCCTGACGTGCCAATTACTGGTTACGTAGCAACGACGTACTGACGGCGAAATTTAACCGGTTGAAATGGAGAATTCTCTACAGAACTTTAACATTCAATAAACTTGCGGATAATAGCACCGATACCGGTATTGTGCCGTTAGAGTCAGCTTGACCGCTATTAGCGTCGTTTCGCGGATTTGTGCAGCGCCCTGGCTTTACCGCATTAAGATTCATGTGTTTAGTCCGAGAATGGGAGAGTCGTGCCGAAGACTGCGTTTAGGTGTATTACCGTACCGTAAGGCAATAGAACGAATTACCCACGATAGTCCTCTCTTCAATCGTAAGATAAAGTTGACTAGAAAACCGAGAAATTTTAGAAAAAGAATTTTCAACTGAATTTATATGATTTTTTCCCCTCAACTTCATCTTAACATTAATATTATACCGATTAATATGATTTGATTAAGATTTAAATTAACATTATTACTAAAAGTAAAGTAAAGATAATTTCGCGTTTTTTTTTGTTAGAGTTTTGAAGTCAAAAAGAACTTTATAGAAGCAACTATTTTATTTTCTAACGTAAGCAAATACTCTGATAGTTTTTTTTTTTGCGATGCCGTCTTCTTCGATAAATGAAAGCAAAAGTATAAACGTCAGCGGCTTGAAATAAATGACGCATCGTTGTCAGAAATTTTTCTATGCGAGATATATCCACAATATCGGTCTTATTCGTAACGCTCGAAGTTATCGATGACTTCAAAAACTTCGCCGAGTCTGTTGATTTCAAAAGACACATCGTATGTGAGGATTCTCTGCTCGAGAAATATGTGCGCATCGCAGAAACATTTATTTCCCGGCTACGACGAAGCGCGCGTTACCTTCGAAACGCTCCCCTATGTAAATTACGCGGACGCTTCTTTTTGTTTTATATTCTCTCTATCTCTCCTCCTCCCTTCCCGTTGTTATCGGAAACCATTGAATTCATGATCGTTTCGCGGACGAGGGCGGGGTGAGGGCAGAGGAGGGTACAAGCGCCCGCTCTCTCGAATGCATAAAAGAGGCAATCGCGCCGGGGCGCGATGTAAATTCATTACACATGTATGTCGAGCGTTCGTCCGAGTGCGTTTGTTTGTAAAATCTAATCAAATATTGTCCAACGCTTATTCGCGCCATTTTTATAAAACTTCCATTGTCGAGGCCGGACGAAACGTAGCGATGTGGTCGTTTTCTTCTATAGTCAATATTCGTCTGCTTGTGTGTATAATCGATTGTTAGAATTAACGAAATGAATTTTGGAATATAAAACGTTATTTTTTTTATTAGTTGCGATATTGTTTCTTTTTTTCGCTCATAACGAGACTACATCTTTTTTATTTGTTACAAAAATAAAATTATAAAAAAAAAACAATAATATATTATGTACTTAAAATCAGCTTTTATACAAGTACGATATAATTATGTACACTTATAGACTCAATTCCGAAAACTAACTGGCTGCAGCTTCTTTAAAAAACATTTTTTATAAACAAATATATATAAGACTTTACTCTGACAAACTCATTTATTTAAAATCCTTGAATATCTTTCTCGGACATTGACAGATATTTATATATACTAGATTTTATTTAATTTCTATCAAATTTCACAATTAATTTTGCAAGACAGAATCTCAAAAATTCCACCAAAATAACGAAATTTCGCACATGGACTACCTTCGATTATGACGTCATTTATTTATCGGGGTCAGGTTGAGGCCGTCGTTACATTACGAGAGCACGTCTAATGGGTAGTAGTCGTGGGTTAATATGTTACCGTGTCACATGTTCAAGCACGACAAACTATACGAGCTCAGGCCGAACGAGAGAGAAATTGCCGCAATTCCGGCGAAGGCGGAATCCTAAGCGCCTAGTAGGCTCATAGCAATTCTCTCCGTCGGCGGAAGGTAACGGCGGCTCGACGCGATGGTGTACACCGCACACCAGATGCCGGCGAAACGTATCGGGCTGTAACCCCCCGTCCACCCGCGCCGGTAATACGTATCGGACTACATTTCACGGTTGATCGAGGCTCGGGCCGGCAACGCCATAGACTATTTCCCAAAGGATTCCCAGAGCGATATAATGGGCTCGCCAAGGTATAACGTAACCAGCTACCTAACTCTCTATCGTATTACCGTGGCAGAGACCGAGCCCACTACCTCTCCATCTCTCTTCCCCCCTTTCCCCATCGCTCGACCGGAGCTCGACCGACCGTGGCCTCGGCCGAGTCCTCACGGGGTGAATTCGTCAACTGGCGCGCCTCTCTGACCGTCTCAGAAACGACGAGAGATGCACTGCGCGGTCGATGTTCGATTCGAAAATTGCGCTTCCTCGCCACGTACTCGCCTCGTACGATCGTGCCTCTTCTCGCAACGATTTCACCTTGGCTGTTCCTTCGCGATACCATCCCCCGGGTGCGCACCTCATCCTTCTCGCCGGGCGAAACCTTCTTATCTATCTACCTACTTACCTACCTACCTACCTACGTACCTAACTACCTACCCGGTCGCTTCTATCTCGCAGAATCTGTGAAAAAGCTCCTTCAGGTAGGGCAAAATTGAAAAATGGAGCTGCAAATTTCGTTTAGATCGCTTCAAACGATTTGAGTTGGTGAGAGCTCTCTCTCTTTTTCTCTTTTTCTCTTTTTACGACTTTCTGTATTTTTCTTTTTGTTCTGTCGGGAATTTATAGAGTTTGATTTGATCCGAGAAAAGATGACGCGAAATAATAAAAAACGCGAATGTTCGCCTTTGCTACGAAAAACGGAGTTATTAATTATCGTCTGGTAGCCATCTTCTTTTCTTTTTCCCTTTTTTCTTTTTTTTAAATGTGCTTCTCCGACGTGTACCCTCGGCAGAGCGTATGGAGACTACGGATGTCACGGGAAGCATTGTGAGAGCGCACGAGAGTCGCGTATCGAGGGTCTTTTGTTGGTGTTACATAAAGAGGGCGGAAAGGAGTGAGGAAGGCTATTGTCTCGGTAGTCGCGCCACCAGAAGAACGGAAGCACTTCCGCGCGTGCCCGTATTTCAGACATTTTTTTAATACCACGAATGACTTGTGCTGCGCAGAGCGCTATTAACTTTCTCTATTAACTTTGCCCCAGATTATTTCTAAATGTTTGAGAAAGATACTCGAGCGTGTTGTATTTTATTCGCTCTCTTTATTAAAATAGTGTTATATTAATATGTTCATTTTTAATTTTTTTGACATTATTTTAGCAGTTAAATATATGAGGAATACTCTTTATGTGAAAACTATTGTTTCAACGAATTAATCGAATAAACTACTTTATCTTTATTACATTTAATTCTCCGTTTGAATAAGTTCAATAAGTTGCATAAAGTTTTATTTCATCTAACTTGCTTTCTCTGTCTTATACATACTTGCACGTCATTTGAGAATTGATTGAAGCCAATGATGATTTCAACTTTATTTTTTTAGTACATTCGAACGACGGTTGTATCTAGACACGACAAGTTCTTGATTCGAGAAAAAAAAATAATGTACTACAAATTTACGACTCAACAATTTTCCCAGCTGAATGCGACGCGAGACTCGGCGCGGGCGTTTATTTCAGATGGCCGTGCGATCATCGTTTAGATGATCCCTCCGAGATGTCTTATTGCCGGCCATTCGGACGGTTTGACGTTTTAAAAGCGGCCATTACGACGCGCAGTACAATGGCAATACCGGAATAGCTGTTAGCTTGCGATGTCGTCGCGCTCGTAGTCTGTCGCTTAGGGTGAATATCCGGTCTACCGAATGTCCTGGCGGTCGTTATAGTTTAATGCGTCGGGCGCCATCGTAATGCGAATTCATTGCCGAGCGAAAGCAGCGC